GTACATACTCGTATGTTGGTATTGAAGATGGATGGGAAGTTTACATTGTGCAATACAACAACAGCAAAAGCAAATTTAAAAATGAATTTAAGGTAATTTAATAGTTTTTTATGAATAATGTAATGTTTATATATAAATATGAGAATATTCATCTATGAATATTTTGATCATTTTAAAATTAGAACATGTTCATATATGAATTTAAATTCATATCTTCTATGAATATTTACAATGTGATTATTCATATATGAATATTTATTTATTATTATTCATATATGAATATTTATTTATTATTATTCATATATGAATATGTATTATTGTATATGATTAAAATGTAATATTCATATACGAATACTTATATATGATTGTTCATATATGAGTATTCATATATGAATTTAAATGTGTAAATTTTGTTTAAATTGTTTTTTCATTTGTTTATTATGTTTTTGTATCAGGTTGAAATAAAAGCTGAAGAGAAAGAAATAAATTGTTGTTGTGAACATTTCAAGTGTATGGGTGTTTTATGCAGACATGCTTTTACAATAATGATGAGATGTGGTGTTAAAGAAATTCCTGAAAGGTATATTCTGAAAATGGAGAAAGGATGTGATATCAAGAAATTATCGTTTTAGTTCTCTTCAATCCGATTCAGGGGATTGTGAGAATGTGAAGCTAGTCAATGATTCATATTATAGTTTTGAATCATGTTTGAATATTGTAAGAGATGACAAAAAGAAATTGGCTTTGTTTGTTGAGAAACAACAGATGTTGTTGAAGGAATTTGAGAGTGATTATACATGTGCTGGATTGAAAAGCAAGACGGATGGTGAAGTCGTATGCAAGGTTATGGGTGTTTCTATTCCTATTCCAAAAGAGATTAATATTCATGTTCCTCAAGTTCAAAGCAATAAAGGTTCTGGAATCATGAACAGAATTCCAAGTGCAGGTGAAGTAGCATATGAAAATTCTAAAAAAGAACATAGAATGTGCCCAGGATGTGGAAAACGAGTTCCTCACAATTTACGTACATGTCCAGTAAGAATTACAGCTGCTCAATCAACAAAAGACATTTAGGTTTTTGTTTTTTTTAATGATTTTTGGTTCTATTCATTTATGAATATATGCATATAATAACCATAAACAATAATATTCATGTATGAATAATACACATTTATATGGATATGGTAAATTGATATGTGAAATACATGTTATTTTAAAATGAATATATCATATTTGTTTTTTAATTTACTAATAAATAAGTTATATTTATATGGTAAATTGATATGTGAAATACACATATTATTCGTAAATTATTCATAAATGAATACATAATATGTTGATTCATTTATCATTGAAGATGTTATTATTTACATATTAAAGGTAAATGAATATATCATGTTGGTATTCATTTAAAAATAAACTTAAATAAAATTGAAAACTAGCATAAATGAATACAAATATGTGAACTTTGTTACACTAATAAATAAGTTATATTGATATCTGAACTTTTTTATACTGACATATTACTCCTAACTTAATGATAAATGAATATATCATATTGGTATTCATTTATAAATAAACAGAAATAAACTTTGAAAATATTTGAATATAAAAAACTAATAGAAATAAGCAAACTTGTTTCTATTACATAACCATTCAACACAAGATAATAAAACATGTTCATAAGCATTTCACAAAATATTTAAATGATGCTCAATAACATTTAACAAACCATCTAAAACTTGTTTCACAGAACCATCTTACCTGTCCTCCAAATTCATTCAACTTCAACACAAACTGTTCTATACCATCATACTTCATCACAAGCAATCATCGATATTCTTTTAACCTTTTTTGAATTGTTTTCATAGCATTGTATGCATGAGCGATACGCACTTTGAATTCAACATTTTGATATTTTTCAGCAAGATCCAACACCTTAACATTCAACATGTTAATTTTAAAAGTTATCATTCGGTGTGCATACCTTTTCCTGAGCTTCTCTAAAGTAGTTTGTTGAATTGCACTTTCTTTATGAAGACCTGGTTTCCACTTTGAGATTGGTTGTCCCATATAGGTCTCCATATGTCTCATTGCAAAGACCATACAATCAACTTTGTTTTTAACTGTTCTCCATGGCATTTCAAGTCGTTGGGGTGTGATACTTTCTTTTGAGATGGCATTGGCTCTTGGATGGTTTATTTCTTTAAAGTATCTCACAAAACAAAATTTTCTAATCAGTAAATAAAATAAAAGTTAGATATGTAATAAATTGGTTCTTATATGTTGTTGTGAATTGGGTACTTACCAAAGGTTTCAATAGTACTCCATATTTCCCTTCATCATCCCCCTCAACTGCACTGTTGTCTAGAATTTCAATTGATGGTTTCTTTAAGTTGAAGACAATCACAAAAATGTGAGCACTTCTAACAACTGGAAAGAATACTTGTTTTTATGTATATAATGGTAATTAATTTGTTGATAATATATATATATATATATATATATATATATATATATATATATATAAACAAGTTTAAGTAACATACCATGTCAATATTTTTTATGCTCAATATTTTTTGTACCCATCAGTACTGTCATGAAAGTTCTCCTTGAAATTTTCATACTTTCTTTCATCAGACAATGTTGAAGATACATAAGCATTCTATAACCAATATAATTTTAAAGGATTAGTAAGTTGTTAATCATAAATGAATACATCATGTTTGTATATTAATCATAAGTATATACTAAAGATATTTATTTTTGATTTTTATATTCATAAATGAATACATCATTTTGTTATAATCATATGTGATTTTCAGTTGCATATACATAATTATGTTAAATGATAGTAAATAAATCTAATATTCATAAGTTAATACATCATATTGGTATATTCATTTATCAAGAAAATAAGAAATTAATGTTAGAACACAAACTTACAGAAACTCCAACTTTCAAGAAGAATCTGTATGGTGAATTTCCAAAATCCCTTCCCAGTTCTTGGTGGTTAAGTAAATCATCCCAAGTGTCTAAAACTTCTACAAAAATCTCTATGTTTGCATATAGACTTTCCATAATTTCTCTTTCTGTTTCCTGACCATATTTTGTTTGGATAACCACATCTCTGCAAATATATAATCAAAATGTCATACATTATTATCTACATAATAATCATATATGAATATGTCTATAAAATAAAGTTACTTACGATGTATTTCCTTGCAAGTTGAACAACCACTCACAGACAATACTCTCCTGATGTGTCAGCTTAGGTTTTGTGTCTATTATACTACATTTGTAAGGTGATTTGAAAGCATCAACAAGCTTCTTCTCTCTTGGTTCATCTAGATCATGCTTTGATGGTCGTACTTCAGTAGGAATTGCTACAGAGATTGGATTTGGATTAAGAACATTTTTGTTTGCTAATCTGATCACAACCCTCTAATGGTCGTCTTTGATTTTTTTCTTTGTAAGTGGTTTTTTTTGGTGAAGATTCATTAGATTTTTTACTTGAAGTTTGATGTGAATCTTGATTGAGACCTAGACTAAAGCGTAGATGAGTATTATCTGCATGCCAGGAGATTTATCATATAAATAGTTGTATGTTAATTATAATATTTTTTTATATTTTGAAATGTTTTTCCAAATTGTTACCTCCTTCATTTCCTTTTGTCTTGTCAGCTTCTCCTCCTTTTTTGTTTTCATTTTTAGACTTTTTCTTGCCTGAAAGATAAAGAACATATATGAATATTGTATCTATATTCAAAATATTGTATTACTTATTCATAAATGAATATAAATATTATAATATGTTAATTTATGAATAAGTAATGCATAGCATTACTTATGAACAAGTAATTCTATCTTTTACTTATTAATAAATGAAAAGTGTGTTATTCAAAAAAATTAATGTAAGCATTACTTACATTGTCTTATTCACTTGTGAATAAGTAATATATTTAGTTATGAATAAGTAATGCATATCATTACTTATGAATAAGTAATACTATATTTCTTATTTATTCGTATATTGTGTTATTCATTTGTGAATAACCAATCTTATTATATTCATTTAATAGTGAATCAACTATTTACCTCTATCATCTGCATTTCCTTTGTTAATTTCTATTTGTTTATCTTCACCTCTATCTTTTGTGTTCTTAGCTTCTGCTCCTCCTTTATTTCAATGTTCATACTTTCCCTTTCCTGAAACATATACATCATATATGAATATTCTATATTTTTTACTCATCTATATAGTGTCTTATTCACTTATGAATAAACAATGTTATTAAAAAAAATCAATATAAGTATTGTAATATATAGTGAATCATTCATTTACCTGTATCATGTCCCTTTCTTTTTTCAACTTCTTCTCCTTGTTTATGTACACCTTCCGATTTTCCCTTTTCTGCATGATCCATATAATATTATATATTAAGTATAAATAATTAATGAATTAGTGAATAAATAATAAGTTCATAGTAACATACCTTGAATAACTTGACTGATAAGAGTATTAGTTTTACTTTTAGTCATTGGTGACCCTCATCAAACTTTACCTATATCAATATTATCCAAAATAGTTTTTATTTCAGGGTCATTCCGAATTTCATCTTCTTGACTATTTAAGCTTGAAAATCCAATTCCAAGGACATTATCCGCAATGTTGTCAACAACTTTATCCAACTAATTTTCATTTTCACTTTGTTGAATAGTCTCTCCATGATTATTTGTTTCTTCAGCCTCATCATTGTTTTTCTCTTCATCATTCTCATTTTCATTGATCTTTCCATCTTTGTCTTTTACTTCAGTTTCACCTTCTTTTTTATTGTTATCTACATCATTCTTTATTCCTTCATTCCGTGATTCATTTGAATCAAAAAAATAATCTACTTCCAGTTGACTTCCATCATTATCATTGTCTTCATCAGCATTTCCCTCTTTATCTTCATTCTCTTTTTGATCATTTGTTTTTTGACCCATTACTGGTGTCAATTAATACCTTCAACTCCAGTTTCATTACTTGGAAATTCAAAAAGTGTTGTGCTTTCAGTTTTTTCTTCAACAATTATATTTGTCATATTTTCTTTGAAAATCCTAAAACTTTCCTTTTCAGGGAACTTTGTTATTGCATCATTGAGTTTTGAATTCAGCTTTTCCTTCATCCTCTCAAAACTATTACGCATTTTAGATAATTTTGATTCATATGCCTATGTAATAAAAAGAAGTATGTTTAGAAATTAATATAATAAATTAATGTAATCATATATGATTAACATGTTCAAAATTATTACCTCAACAAAATCATCTTCATCTTTATCAGAATCATTGTCTTCGAGATTTGTATCTCCTTCATCTTGTTCATTAACAAATTCTTCATTTAATTCTCCAAGTCCATATCTACCTTTTTCTTGTTCAAATGTCTCTCGATATCTAATCTTCCCTGAACTCCAATAACAAATTGTTGGACGTTTACATGTTACCGTTAAATCTTCCAAGCGGATTTTATCAGCATAGAACAACTGCAGATAAATGATAATTAATTGATATTCATAAATGAATTATATATATATATATATATATATATATATATATATATATATATATATATATATATATATATATATATATTCATATATGAATAAGTAATGCAAACCATTACATGTGAACAAGTAATATTATCTTTTATTTATTCATATATGAATAAGTAATGTAAAGCATTACATGTGAACAAGTATCTTTTACTTATTCATATATGAATATGTGCTATTCAGTTATGAATAATTAATATTATTAAAATTTGAATATAAACATTATAATAACTTACCACCAAGAAAGCTGAAGGTCTAACAAAGTAGCTGGTATCTGAGTATGGTATGTATGAGTTCTTTGTTCTGACAAGATAGTCCAAAACATAGATGCACCAGTATATGTTGCTAATATCTGTTTTTCTTGAAATATAACTCAAAGGGAACAGGTTGTATCTTCCCATTGATGTTGACTCACAAAAAGTGTTGACAAAAAGAACTAGGAAGTTCAATTTGAAATTGAAATCAGCTTCTGTGGTACAAACAATAACTTTTTTGATTGCATTCAGTCGGATGATTGCTCATTCTTTAAATTGTTGCTTCCATTCATCATAACTTGTATCATCTTTAGGCCATTGTTCCAGTTGTGTAAGTATGGTTCCACCAGTTGGAATACCCAACATGTCATGAACAGACTCTGTTGTTACTTTCAGTTCCTTTCCTTCAACATCTATCACCATTATCTTATAATCAAATTTTTGAAGAATATAAAATCCCAGCTTCAGTGGTATATCTGTGATTTTCATTTTAACAGACTTTCAAAACCCATAGATCTTACACATTCTTTTTATTGTTTGCTCAACCCAAGGATTATAGAGAGTAATGACACTAGTGAACATCTGTTTTTCATCGAGTAAAATTCTTGTACAACTAGTTTTTTTCTCTTTCTTGATTGGTGACTCCTTGTTCTTTGCCTTTTTTGATGGACGACTACTTTCAAAATCAGAGTCTGAGTTATGTAGTTGTCGTTTTTCAGGAGTTTTTCTTTTTAATGGACTTTTTTTCTTTGATGCTTTGTTTTCTTTGGTGTTTTTGTTTCTTTTTTTTCTGGGAAATGAAAACATATAATACTTGAATAAGTTGTAATTATTCATATATGAGTAGTGCAAATATATAAAAGGTATATACAAGTTATTGATATATGAATGATATATATATATATATATATAGTTATTCATATATGAATATCCTCGTTGATTTATTAATATTTATTTATTACAAAAATATAACAGGGATATACAAGTTTATTCATATATGAATATATTAGATATGATAAGAATTTTATACCTTTGACATCTTTCCTCTTCAAATCTGTTTCTCTCATTGTTGTTGGCTCTTTATCAGAAATGTCAATCTTCTTACCTTCATACATTAGTGAGTCGAAGACAAATAAATTTGAAATACATTTTACAAAGAAACTATTTCATATTCATAACTGAATAAATGAATAGAACATATATATCCATATTTATATATTCACATATGAATATATATGTTATATTCATATGTGAAGATACTGAAGATCAATCACCAATTTCAAAAGAAAAATGTTCCGAAACAAACCAACATAAAGGTATGAATAATTGTTTCCATTCACATATGATTAACTTTTGAATACAAACAAAGCTAAGCCATATATATTTATTTATATATGAATACATGAATTCAATAGTTTTTTTAATATAAAACATATCCAGATTGAAGTATTCTTATGTTAATAGAAGAAAGTTATAGCGGGGATATACAAGTTATTCATAAATGAATATATAACAGATATGATATGAATTTTATATCTTTTTTCATTTTTCTACATTGATCTCTCATTGTTGGTGGATCTTTATCAGAAATTTTAATCTTCTTACCTTCATTCATTAGTGACTAGAATATAAATGAACTTGATATACATTTTACAAAGAAACTATTTTATATTCATAAATGAATATTTGAATAAAACATATATATTCATATTTTTTATTCACATATGAATATGTATGTTATATTCATATGTGAATAGAACATATATAAGTCATTTTTGTTATATTCATATTTGAATAATGTATATATGACAGCAAATTATGTTCTATTCATATGTGAATATAACATATATAACTTAGTTTTTTTTTGTGTTCAGAAGTAAACAAAACATATCAAAACAAAATTATCTTCAATATCTTCATTTTCTGTTGTATTTTTAATCAAAATCTCATCTAAATGTTTGCAATCACATATGAATAAAGTTAATCATATCTAAATAGAATATCTATTTTATTTACCTTTTTTATTGGTTTTTGTTTTTCGTTTATATATATGTTTCACTATTGGTGCTGTTTATGTAGGGTAAGTAGTTAATATTAAGACAACATAAGCAAAATGTGAAGTAACGTTTATATTTAAACAGAAAAGTTGTGAATAAGTATAAAAAATGAAGAGAAGATGTAAAATCATTTATATATCAACTAATAATGGATGATTATTACAAAAATTTCAAGTAAATCAACTAATAATGAAGGGGGATTAATAGACTGAACGAGGATCAAAAAATTTGAAGTAAACAACCTAGTTTGAAGAATGAACAGTGCGAATACAAAATTTTTAGTTCTAAATCAACTAATAATGAACGACGATTACGAAAAATTTCAAATAATCAAGTAATAAGTTTAGAGATGATTCCAAATCGTTAAAAATCGAAGAAAAAAGCGCCAATGATTTCATAGTCAACAGTGAGGAAATGGTTTCGTTTAGGTTTTCGTCGGAAGACATTTTTCTTCGATTTGTTCTTCGCGATGTTGAGAATGCTTTCTGTGATTGAATCCTTCTGCAGATGGTTTTCGTGTTATGGGGAAACGAAGAGGGAAATGATGGGTTTGTTTTCGAGATTTGATGTGCAATAAAATTAATCAAGTGCCCTGTCGGTTTAATGTTTTTGGATTATTTACAAGTTTGCCACCACGTTTTGATGTCTTTTAAGCTCATTAAATGATTGGCTGAGAATGGTTCCCCCATTCTCAACCTTTTTTTCTGAATTGAACCCTCCTCTCTCTCTCTCTCTCTCTCTCTCTCTCTCTCTCTCTCTCTCTCTCTCTCTCTATATATATATATATATATATATATATATATATATATATATATATATATATATATATATATATATATATATATATCAAGTTTGTGAAAATCGCTCAGCGGTAGCTCGGTAGTCGACCGACGATAAGCGATTAATCGGACTATGCGGTGATTAATCGGCGATTGATTGGGGACCCTAAATTACTAATAAAATTATTGAAAAAAATTAATATTTCCTAAAAAAATTAAGTTTTTAATAATTCAAAATTTTAAAATTTTAAAATTTTGAAAATTTTTGTATAATATTTTTATTATTTGAAAACTTAAAATTTTGAAAATTTAAAATTTTGGTGTAATATTTGAAAATTAAAAATTTTGAATTTTTTAATTTTCCCGCCTATGACCGGCGAGGACCGCCAAGACCGTCAAGCCCCGAGTTTGTCCGATTTTGTCCAATTTCCACCAAGCACCCTAATCGTAATTGGTTCAAGACCGCCAAGCGATTAATCGCGGATTAATCGGCCGCCAAGGCCGATTTTTGCAACACTGATATATATATATATATATATATATATATATATATATATATATATATATATATATATATATATATATATATATATATATACAGAGAGAGAGAGAGATGAAGGATCATTTGAGAAGTTATAGTTTCCCGAGAACCCGATAACTAAAGGTGGAGCGTTAGATTAAAATCTTGAATGGCTTAGATTGATCATGGCACAATTGTAATTATCACTTGTTTCGATGGTATCTTAGACAAATTTATAACTAATTACAAGGGAAAATTAGGAATTGAAAATATCAGTCATAATAATCAATTTAACAAATTAAAAAACCCACACACACAAACACGTCTTTCTCACTTTCTCTCTCATCTCTCAGGTTCTTCACGATGGCCTCCCTCTCCATCATCCGCCTCCTTCCGATGAATCTCTCCACATGCGATCTTTCTGCCACCGATTTCCGCCAAAAATACCGCCACATTAAGGATCGAATTCGACGCACAAACCACTCCATCTACCGCCTTCTTCCTCCTTCCATCCTCCATCTCTACATGTTCCGACAATCAATGACGACTACCAATCCACAGTCCTCATCTACCATATCAAAGACGTCGAATTCACGAGGCAAGAGATCTACGCCGTTCATTTTTATGTACGATTGCAATAATATATCGTCGAATCACATTCGTGGATCACCTCTATCTGGCGAGGATCTTATACCGCTGATGCCTTCTTTTCCAATCACACCTCCGACCGCCACAAACTACACAAACACTGTCAGATATGGCTCCAACCTCTACAGTTCCCACCTATGTATCAACTCTCAAGTAAGTATCATCAATCACTTCATGATTGAATCTGTCACACTCCCAAACCGGAACGGCGAAAACGTTCGGGGGGCGGAGGACGTCATGTTTAGTATCACAACACATGCATCATAGTAATCAAAGTAACAAACAACCATTGCATTTATATGAAAGTGTTTTACAAAGTATGTGATTCACAAAACATGGACTTCAAAAGTAAATAACAAAACAAGACATGAAGCTACTATGCTCCGTCTTCTGCATCCCAGCGCGTGTACCTGTCTACTAGCTTCCTGAGAATACAAGTTATTTTAAAAGAGTAGATCAGCATTTAAGTTGGTGAGTTGATAAGTATTTTAGTGATGTAAAGTAAGTTGTAAGTTCATTTTAGAAAAGTTCGCTTGTTCCTCCAGAAGATCCTATATCTTCTGATATGATGAAAGATAAGTAAAAATGGCTCTACAATCCCTTCTATGAGTACTAAATAGATACAAGTTATATAAAACCCAGAGTAAACAGACAATCGATTTTGTGAATCTGCCCTAAGCCTACAACCAAACAAGGACCAGGAAATAAGGCGGAAGTCACACATCCCATTGTTTGTTAGATCTTCGTTCTATATAACCCTGGCGTATTCATTTGGTACTCACGAAATTAACTGTAATAGTTCCTTTATATTTGATGAAAACATTCTTTAAGAAAAACCCTTATTTCCTTTAGTAAAAATGGTGTATACAATAGTTCCTTCTATAATCACTTAGTTTATACTAGCTATATATAATCTAATATCGAACGGATAATTATTTGTGTGAATCTGCCCTAAGCCCACAACCAAACAAGGAACAGGAAGTAAGGCGGAAAGCACACATCCAACTACCTATCGGATATTAATTATATATAACCCTGATGTATAAACTGAGGTATTATGGAATTAACCACTAAAGGTTCTTTAAGTTATATTGGTTTAATAAAATGAATTAAACCCTTTTACTGATAAGTTTCTAGTTTAGCCTACTAAATGTTCTATCTGAAAAGTATGTTTTTGTACTAGAAAACAGTGTATTGAATTTGTATACTATGACCTGACCCATACCTGGTACTCCTTATGATTACTTGGTGTATACGGAATATATATATATATATATATATATATATATATATATATATATATAGGTCGAATAGATAGTAGACTGGGTGAATCTGCTCTAAGCCCACAATCAAACAAGGAATAGAAAATGAAGCGGAAAGCACACATCCTACTGTCTGCCGGACCCGATTAATATATATCCCTGATGTATCTACCGAGGAATCATAAAGTTAGCATTATAGGCCCCCTTCTAAATGAATGTTCATGATACGAGTAAGTTATGTGGCGTTGTTCTATCGATAGGACGACTACTAGAAGTAATGTAATCCTGCACTCTTAATGCCTCAGTCGATACTGTTGTGAGTTTTGTATATATTGACATGTTTTATTTATTATTGTCCGGTACTTTGTAGATGTACCCCATATATATATATATATATATATATATATATATATATATATATATATATATATATATATATATATATATAAATCATTGCACTTTGTAGGGGCACCATATATATATATATATATATATATATATATATATATATATATATAACCTTATACCATGTTTATTATCATCTTTTGTTTAGAACAATGAGTTAATGATATGTTCCCTTCCTAGGTTACAGGGAATATATAGTATAAGTATGTAAATCATGATTTGTTCTTCTGTTATAGTTATAGTATGTTCCTCCAAGTACTAGTTATAGTATGAATTGAACCCCTAAACTATACCTATTATAGTTTACTAGTATGTTTATTTGAACTGATACTGACTTTGAAGAAAAGACTCATTTATCTATTGAGTTATGATTATACTTTAAAAATGGTATTTTTAATAACAACAATCTAAAATCGTTTAAAAGAGTTTTTGAAATGATTTGGT